AAGGTGCCCAGGCAAGTGAACCACATGTAGGAAATTCGATACAGAGGAAATATTTCGCTGTGAATTCAAACATTTGCGAGTTGATTTAATTAAGTTAAGTAAAAACTATATATAATATTTACTTTGCCGCCGCATTCAAATCGGTCATATTGGCTGGGCTCATTGATAAGCCTGTACCGTCGAAATGATAGTCGCATTGATCAACGGTGATGAGCTTCGTCTGATACTTAATAGCGCCTGAAGCAATGGCCCATTGTGCCTTCAAGCTGATCCATGACATGGTAATTACGCTCACCACGCCGCCAGTTAAAGCGCTCTGCAGATGTTTCAAAAACATTTAATTATAAATTTATGTGAATAAATAGGTTTTTTGATTTTCGCCTACGTTGCCGCTGATCCATGGCATAAATATTCCAATGGTAAATATGCCGAAGAGCGGACCATTAGTGATGGCCTCCAAGCTCATAGTCAACTGCAACACAGTTCCCATGTGTTCGACTACGTAGACCAGGCAGACGCATAGCGCACCCATGCACACCACAACCGATCTCATGATCCAATTTATCGCCTTATCGGATAGCGGCCGTTTCACAAATGGTTTGACAAAATCCTCCAGCACCACAGCAGACATTGAGTTCAAGCATGTAGAAAGCGAGCTTAGTGCGGCGCTGAATACTCCAGCGATAAATAACCCCGTAAGCCCCGGATAATCACCCAATGTATCCATGACGAAAAGGGGCAGTAGCTGATCGCGTGCCTTGGCCAGCTGCAATGGACCGCATTTACTAATTTTCTAATATAACTAATGTAAAGCGTTGTCTCGCACCTTTGTAGTGAGCGGATCACAATTCTTGTACGTGGCGTAAATTAACAAACCATTGTAGCCACAAAGCGCCATCATGACCAGCACGCCAGAACAAAAAATAAACAAAGCCAGGCGAGCTGCACGCAAGGTTGGCAAAGCAAGATAGCGTTGAATCATATTCTGTGAGACCGCATTCGTTTGGGTCCAATAGAAGACGCCACCAATGAGCTGAGACCAGAGCGTATGACGCACCGTGGGGTTTAAACTCAAGCTATTAGAATGAAACAAAAATGGTATTAAGTAAAATCTTGGCTTGAATATATACATACTCGGGTCCTTCGATACGATTCGTTTCCCAGGCACTTTTTAGCACCACACCTGCGCCGCCAATGTCGTGACTTCCTTTGACGGCTACCAGTATCAGAGCGCCTACCATCGACACCGTTTGCACCACATCCGTCCACACAACGGCTCTAATACCGCCCTAAACACAACGAGGCTATCTTTACTACTTCACTTTACTAGATACAAATAATTTTATCTAGTTCTAATTCTCACCAAACTGGTATAAAAGATACAGATAATGCAGACGATGGGCGTTATGGTGTGCACAGCGACTCCGGTCACCTGATTGAAAGCTAAGGCGGGCACATATATTACAATTGGTAAATAAGCCACCTAAGTGATTAAACGGATATTATTCTTCTCAATTATTGGGCTTTAAGCTTACTCACGTTCATAATAGCAAACATTACGGATCCATACATGCGTAGACGACGATCGAAGCGGCTCTCCAGATACTGAAATTATTATGTAATAACATGTTTTGTTTTAGAGACACATAAAACGGTTATATCTGTGTTGGCAGAAAGTTTATATGCAATATTTAAGGACCTTCCTCTACTCTATAATATACAGCTTTAGTTTACTTCACTGTAAGAGTGGGCGATGACAAAGAATCAGACCTCATCGGACTAGACAGCATCATTCAATTATGATCTCTTCTAGCAAATTAAATAGAATTTGTGGTCAGCAATTTATTTCGAACAAAAACACTTTGTAGAGAGTCCACATATGCCAAGCAGTAAAACAAATCGAGATATTTAAAGAGCTTAGATGAGAGTCTGGCTGGTAATGCCTCATAAAATTGTAATTCTAATTCCCTAAAGTCCCTTTGTAACATATACGTTTACTCATAATTATGTAATCGCATCGTGGAGTAGCGGAACAGAGGCCAACACACGAGAGTTCAAATACGACGCACACGTGCTCCTCGTCGCTCATTTAATGAACTTGCTTCAAGTGAATCAACATGTTGCACTGATTTTCATTCACAAACCAACGAAAGTTCAATTAGCGTTCACAGCGCTTACACTCTGTGTAAGTTCCAGTATTTATAGAGACTAGGTATACCATTTTCTATGACGCACAAACACACACTACATTTGTTTACCCAAACACAATGCTAAACCGTGTGCGTCAAATAATTGAATTGAATTAAATCTTTTGCTTTATGAATGCTGCATTTCACATGTGTTCGTGAGTGTGTGTGTGTCTATGTACCGTAAATAGCTGGCCCTCTTCTTAGATATTTCAACATAAACACTCACCTCATATGTCGATGTGATGTTCAACTGATGAAAGACGGGCAGGTAAAATACACCCATCACTACGCCCATTGCAATCACGCCCAGAGAGACATACAAATATTGGACGCCATAGGAGTAGACCTCCGTCGGTAAACCCAACAAGGTAATGCCAGAAATGAAGCTCGCCACTAAAGAAAGTGCAATGGGCAGTATGAGCATGTTGCGACCGCCCATTAGATAGTCGGACTCGGAAAGACTGCGATTCATGAAGCCAAAATAGATGCCGATCATTATGCAGATCACAAACATGGCTATAAAGACGCCATAGTCAGGCCACGAAAAGCGCTGTAGCTTCGCGATAATATCGTCTATGTCCGTCATTGTGACTGAACGGAGTTTTTGACGATTACACAAGAAGTATGGGCTCTTGAACGATCGCGCTGGACTCTTGACTGTAGGTTACCGTGTTACAGCTATTTACTTTAAGTTGGGCAAATTTATTAATTAAAATTATTAATATGGCGCCGCAACATTGCTTCACTCTAAAATCGAATTCCGAATTTAAGCGCACTTAAACCGCATTCGTCCGCACCTATCACAGCTTGATTGCTTACTGAGCTTCCCAGTAGCGCCTTTGCTATTATCATTTAAGCTTCGTCATTGATGAGTGAGTGATGTCAGTAGAAGTTCCCTACATCAGTGACATTGTAAGACCAATTTGGATAAAATATTTTCCATTCTCACAACAACAAATGCATATCCATTAGGGGCGTTCTTCCAAACAACCACCGTGGGAGCATAGTATGGCACCCAATTTCGGAAGTGACCAGTGATCCAATATAAATCTGTATGTTGTTGTCACTAACACACACAACATTAGGTTTATAAATAAATTGCATAATATTGAAGCTTAATTTCATACGCAACGGTCTTATTGTGCTTAAGTTAATGATGTTTAAGCGCACTGAAGTGATTCAACAAATACACAAAATGTAGGTGTTGTGATATTCTGGGTTCTCACTTTAGCTTACATATGTGTAGTTTTGTTATTTATCTTTTGGGTCGCTACTCAAGAACCCGTAAGGAAATATGCACTAAAATGATTGCTGCAGCGTCGATGCTTTGTAGAGAACATTTGAACTTGTAAGCTCATTTCGACTCGTTGGACGTGATTTCTTCACAATTTGTAACGTTCCTCGATAAATTGCAATTAAATTTTTTTAAAAATAATTTTGGCATTTGTATGCGCTTATTTCACACCCACCATCGTCCGAGCGATAGTAGCCCGCCAAACAAATATTACCGCAATAGTCGTTATTCAATCTTTTAAATCCTGAACAGAGTATATTAAGTTTGCCACGAAGTCTGTAACACCCAGAAGGAAACGTCTGAGACCCTATAAACTATATACATAAATGATCAGCATGATGAGCTGAGTTGATTTAGATATGACCGTCTGTCTGTCCGTCCGTCAGTATATATACAAACTGTTCTTTTCTCACTAAGAAACTGCTCATTTGTCGGAACGGCCGATATCGCACCACTATAGCGTATAGCTGCCATACAAACTGAACAATCGTAATCAAGTACTTGTATGGCTAACTCTTTTATTTGCCGAGATATCTTCACGAAATTTGGCATGGATTATTATGTGAGGCAATAATCCAATCTCCGAAAAATGAATTAATATTTTATAAACATTTGTATATGTATTGTACATATATATGTCTCAGCAAACAGGCTCATTCAAATATGAAATGTTGAGCTGATCTACAATTATAGATGGTAAAGGCACCATCTAACACGCCACTAAACGGATTCCTCGTTGAAAATAATTATTGATATCAATTGAGTTTATTATATTTTCACTTGGAGAACCGATCCCGTCTAATCTGGTTTGGAGACCAAATGGGCTCAATTTGAGCACATGTAATACGTCGTGGAAACGTCTCAAATTGTTATGCTTGCAGTTATAAATGTACATTTGTGTGTGTATATACTTACTGTATATGTATATATAGAATAAGCATCTATGTATATAAGCATATTTAACTTCCAATGTCTTTCCGTCAACCTAGAAGATGCATCAAATTGGGTAAAATTATATATCCGCGTAGTTAGTTCCAAATAAATTTCACCACTAATACGTGATGGCACATGTAAATCAGTGGCGCGTCACACTATTGCTGCAGTGCCGCACCGTTGATTTGTTGATTGTTGCTAATTTGTAGAGATTTACTTAAGCAATAAAATATTTTTTCAATGAATGGACTGTCTTTCGATGCACTTGAACTTCATCCTTCGATTTCAAGCTGAAAATAAAATGAAGTACGATCGCACATATGTATGCATTTACATATGTATGTGCTTATATACTATACATATTGCGTTTTATATTAGGTCTAATTGAAGATCTTAGGTGAAAAATAATAGCATCAGCAAGCGATAGCCATTCAAACACCTTTTTTTACTACCAAAGAATATATGTAAATGAATATATTTCTAATATGTCAACAGTCAAGTCCACTAGTTATAAAGAAGCTAGTTATAAACCAATCTGAAGCAAGGTAGTGAGCCGACGGTTCAGGGTATAATATAAAATCTAGTTGGTATTTGTGAAATTGCGAAATTGTAATTCTTTGCTTAGACGGTTGAATCTAGATGTTTATTCATATTTCATATTTGCAGAAGTTTGGAGATTCTAAAATACATATGTACATAGCTGTGCATATAATATATGGTATATGTTTGTATGTGACCGCATGCATCATCATTTCTTTTTAATTTTTTCCTTCTGTAGAATTATTGTGGCGCCTCGAATCGCCATACCAATTATCACAGAATTGGGATTGCCAGAAATGGGCGTTGGTAATACACTTGCATCGATTACACGCATATTGTCAATTCCGTGGACCCTAGAAGAAACGCGCAGATAATTAAAATGTGTATTCAAGACGTAGCTTAATTATATATGTAGCTATGTCGGACACCCACTTGAACTGAGAATCCACGACACTGTTATTTGCTGCTGTGCCCATTACACAAGTTCCGCCTGGATGATGTGACCCCAGCCCCACATATCTGTGCGAAAACAAAACATATGTATGTTGGTAACATGTTATATATTCGTAATGTACAATATTAAAATGCAATTGGAATTTACACACCTTATTACACACTCCAAATACCTGTCTGTCGGCATATTTTCCACAAAATCTTTCTCCGTTGGTCCATACTTTTTGCACTCATCAATCTTGGGCCAATGGATGCGCGGATTTAGGGAAGCAAAGCTTGCCGACTTCATGACCTCCACGGCCGCGCGTATAGCGCGAATCGTACAGTCAATATCACCGGCCTCCCGTAGATAGTTCGGATCGATAATTGGTTTCCAACGGGTATTGGGTATCCTGATAGAAACAGTGCCACGTGATTTCGGCTGCAGACAAGTGGATATCAGCACAAATCCCTCCTGTGAACTATTGTGATAACGGGGAAAGAGTGCACGAAAATACTCCTGTTTAAAATTGGAAATTGACATTAAAGCACTTTCTTCCACCGCGCCAACACCAAAAAAAGTCAAACCAAAGCTATCCTCGTAGCTGGAATCGATGTGACCCAAAACACCGAAATTACCCAAATGACCATAGCCGTTTATCAAATAGTTCAAAATTTGGAGGGGATTAAGCAGGGAGCGTTGATTTAGTGTTGGGCCCACCGTATCAATGGATACAAAAAGTGGCAGATTAAGATGATCGTGTAGATTTTCGCCCACCAATGGTAATTGTAACTGTTGCCGCATACCCAATGTTTCAAACAGAGTGGCATCGCCAATACCAGACGCCAGTAGTATTTGTGGAGATTGATAAGCGCCGGCGCAAAGTATCACCTCACATTGCACATCTACACTGAAAACATACTCCTCATGATTTTTCTTGTCCATCACGCCAACTAAAATAGTCTGCACCTCACTCTTTTCTTCGTCGATGTAAACGAGGTTCAATCGTTTTAAATACGCATTGGTAAGCGTAAAGAGATTACGACGCTTGAGAGACGGCAACAAAAATTGATGAAATACATTGTGACGCAGCCCATTTTTAATTGTATACCGAGCACGTCGAAACCGCCAATTTTTTCTCGAAAATTCCTTTTTCAAATTGTATAGAGCCTCCGTTATTTTCGAATAGTCCGATGATATCTCTAAAAGAGAATGAGTCTGTGTACGAACCGCAGTTAGGAAAGGTCGTATGTCCTTCCATCGCCAATCAGTCAAATTGTGTCTACTGCTCCATCTTTCAAAATCACGAGGTTCTCCATCGAAATGCAGCATATAATTCAACATGGAAGAACCACCAAGTCCTTTACCACGAGGCAAGTACTGCCGCTAAGAATAATTGAGACATTTAACGCCAACTGAATACTTATTCACCTACTTACCTGTTCTCCAAGTCCGCGCGAAGAATAAACCTGGGGTTCTGATAGAAATCCCCAATCGTTCAGACCTTTTTGCTGGAAAGTGGTCAACAAAGGTATTTTACTCAACAAACCAAATGAATCCCCCGCTTCAATGAGCAGCACCGTTGAGGTTGGACTATGCTTGGCGAGCAATGAAGCCACCACTGAACCCGCAGTTCCAGCACCAACTATTTTTTTTTTAGTTTATTTTGTAAATGTTTCAATGTCAAGTTCTAATGCATATATGCATATATAGGTATAATGCGTATAAATAACTCACCCACTATGTAGTCGAAAGCGTAGCCCGCTTGAGGGCTTAGCTCATTTGGTGTGTTATCGCCAAACAACGAAACAAATGTAAACCACAAAAAAGCCAAAAAGGCGATGACAATGGCACCGAGATACAAAATTTCTTTAAGTAAAACGTATACATTTTTAATAGATACATGTACTATTTGAATATGTATGTATATTTTTCATCAAGCAAGTCTTTTTACATACGCTGAAAATGCATTATATTTTTGCTCCAAATGTTTACTATTGCCACCAATTTCTTTTTTACAACTAATAGAGAAAACGCCACACTTGAAGACTATCACTGTGAGAACCAGCAGATATGCAGAGTGGTTGCGGGGAAAAACTGCTGTAATCCAATTACATACCGCTTTCTTTATTGGGTCATAGTAGAGCATATTTACACGCTAATGAGGGGTGGAAAATAGTGCATTGATAAAACTAATAACACAATTCTATAGATTTGTCCAAATTACTTTCAAATTCTGCAAGTTCAATTTAAATTCATATGTATTTGTCACGATTTCGGGAAATCATAGAAATATTCTTAGAAATGAAAACAAGACATTTAAGAAATGAAATATTCGACTTATAACTAAACCCCCATAACACGCTTTGTCCCCAACTTAAGCCTTCATCATCTCAATATCCTCCAACGTTGCGCCTTCTTCCAGTTTCTTTTCAAGCTCGCGAGCATCAACATAAGTGATTTCTTCTTCGGGCAGATCTTCATCCATTAGTGCAGCTTCTAGTGATTCTTCTTCCGCGCGACGTTCTTTGAGACCAGCAGCTGGAGAACGAATTAAAGATATGTTGCGCTGTACGTCTTTCACATCCATCTGTATTTCCACTTCACGGCCCTTGCGCAAACGTTGCAAAACAAAATTGTCTTGGCGACGTTCCTTTATTTCAGTAACCTTCTTAATGGCATCAAGTGTTTTCTGCCAAGCTTCGCGACTGTATTTAACTGGGACATTACGACGTTTCTCGAATTCGAAACTGGGATCGATGGCCAGCTCTTTGCCAGCTGCCTTTCGGTGAGCCTTTGTCCAGCGTACTTTACGTGGGTTCTTCTTCCGTTTAAATGCTCTATGACATTTACTTCTACAAAATCTGAAAATCTAAGCAAAAAATATATTATAATTTAGATTTATATTAATATATATACATATATTAAATTATTACAATTGCTATCGACATTTATTTTACTTTGTCCAAATTTGACCCGATACTTTCAAAACAAAAACAAAATCGGCAGTAACACTTACTTTGCAATCGTTTCGCACAAACTGTATCCCGTGTCCAGGATAAACTTTGCTGGAACAAAAGTAACACGTTTCTATACGCATTTTTGCTGAATTTTATGAAAATAGCAAGAAAATTCAACAAATTTTTTAACTGCGCACACACGTGTTGTTTTTGCTAGGAGGTAAACTGGGAAAGAAAAAAAAAACAGACAGAAACGAAACTGTCAAAAATTTCGATAATCGAAATTCTACTATTTATTATTGCACAAAAGTTGCCACTTTTCCTTAACCGTCAAAGATAGAGTTGATGTTATTTGTGTAAATGATATTACAAAATTTATTGCAAAATAGTAAAATATTTAAATTTAAAATATATATATATATACATATATTAGAAATAAGTTTCATGTATTTTAATCTATTAAAATATGTAGTCACAGATCATGATATACGTTCTCGTCACAGAAGGAAATAGTTTGCGAGCTACTACGTTGACCAGCTGTTTATTAATTTATTTATCGTCCTGGAGTAATGTGTTGATTAACAACGTCAATTGTTCATTAAAGTAATTAAGAAATAAATGTAAGGAAATAGTTTTTAACAAATACATTATCAATTGGCATACACAAAACAAATCTTCTCCGCCACATCAGCATTGCAGTGCTCCACAGTCGGTAGCTAAGTAAGGTATTTCTTTTCTATTTGAAATTTGCCACATAAGTATAATTGCTAAAACATTTATATTTTATAGTAATGTGCAATAAATTCGTATAATTGATGAGACGGTTCATTGGAATAAATTTTACAATGAGGGTGCGCGTTTCCTAATTTTTATTAAATTAAGCTCGATTTGTAAGCTTAATACAGTGCACAAATGCATTTCCTGGGGCGCGCTAATCACACACATAACCCGAGTTACAGTTCAGCCACACCAATCCACAATAATTCTTACGAATATCGACAGCTTGAAAGCACCCCGCGCACGTCACATCACACAAATATATCTCATTCACGTTCCGTGATGTATACACGCGATTGGCGTTCAGCCCTACGTACACCACCTACATACAGAATTGGAAATCGGACATTACGATTCAATTTCCACTTTGCGCTATTAATCATTTGTGCAATTGTATTATGCTTCTTATTTGCTTACGTTCGTACGGGATCACAATCTTCTTCTGATGCAGCGTGGCTCAAAACCTATAGTAGTTCTACACGTAGTAGTACATCTGATAAAACACCAAACAATAGCGATGCTGAGGTTTATATTGCTAAATATCCACTCACAGCTCCATTTGTTGGGCATGCCAACGAGGTAATATATCGCATAGCTATAGTAGCCGATTTGGACACCAATTCGAAAGTTCTTAAAAAAGACGGAAGCACTGTATGGCAAAGCCGTTTGAAAAAGGGACATTTAACATATCGTAGATCAAAACCAGAAATTACAATTAAATGGAACGGCGGAGAACCTGTAATATTAGAATCTAGCTTTTCTCTAAAAGGACGTGGCATGGAATTATCGGAGCTCGTAACATTTAATGGAAGATTACTTAGCTTCGACGACCGGACTGGTTTAGTTTATGATATTACTAACGATAAACCAATTCCATGGATTATATTGCTTGATGGAAATGGGCGAAATAGTAAGGGTTTCAAAGCAGAATGGGCTACTGTAAAAGATCAACAATTATATGTTGGTTCGATGGGCAAAGAGTGGACGACAAGTGCTGGAGAATTTGAGAACGAAAATCCAATGTATGTAAAGGTAATATCACCCAGTGGTGAAGTACGTTCAGTGGACTGGGCATTCAATTTTAAATTCTTGCGTCAAGAAGCAATGCAAATAAATTGGCCGGGTTATATGATACACGAGAGTGGCGTCTGGTCATCCGTGCAGAAGAAATGGTATTTCCTTCCAAGGCGCTGTTCACGTGAAAAGTAATTTAATGACTTAATACAAACAAAAAAAAAAGAATTTTAAATATATTTTCTTTCTAGATACAACGAAACGCGGGATGAGCATATGGGTTGTAATTTGCTCATATCAGCAGATGAACGTTTTACAAATATCAACACCGTCACACTGGACCCTTTAAACACTTCTCCAACACATGGGTTTTCGAGTTTTAAATTCGTGCCAAATACTGATGATAAAATAATAGTTGCCACTAAAAGCGAAGAATTAGACGGCAAGACATCGACATTTATTACAGCTTTTGATACAGAAGGGCACACGATATTACCGGAGCAACGTATTGATACAGATTTGAAATATGAAGGCATCGAATTTATCTAGTATGTGGAATGTAAAAAACTGCAAGCAGCATGAAATAGTATTTGTTTTTTTACACTTAGAAAAAACTTGTATTAAAATACTTTGCCGAAAAATGTTCATACCAACAAGCGCTACTAATGAAGCAGAATCTGGGCCCAGTTGTATAAATACTATATTTTACGCAGTTATTTAGAGTATTTTTTGTTTGTATTGTATCTTATGTTTTTTATTTACCTTAGAAAACGCTTACTTTTAATATTATTCTTAAGCAATGCAAATGCGTATTTCTAAACTTTCAGTCCTAAGGTCAAATATGATAAGTGCTACTTGTGTATAAGATTTCTCAAAAACATAAGTAAAAAATGTGATCTATCGTTACCAACTTACGCATTATTTTGTACATATTAGAACTAAGTAAATAGTTAAATAAGGTCAGAATTTGCTACATTAATCCAAACATACAATAATGCTCGGAAGTAATAAATAGAAATGGCGTATGCAATAAATTTAGGCACAGCGAATTTTAGTTACAAATTTATAAATAAAAAATAAATAAAAAATTCAGAAATAACGAAACTTATTGAAACGTAATTTTTTCAACTGTTCGCTACAGTTTCCATAACTCCAGCTGCATCGAGGCCAGCAACAATTAAATCATCCTTATTAACACGACCCTCTTGAGCGCGGATACCCAATCTGTTAAAAAAAAAAAATAATAATAATATTTTTTCTAAGGTTTCGTAATATTTGCAATACCTATTTGCGTTGTGATTGACATTCCAAAGTTCTGGAAGATATTTAGGCTTCATCGTGTTTAGAAAGTGTTGTCGCCACAGTTTTTCCAGTTCACATAGTCCACCGCATTCATTTTGATACATATGCACGACGTGTTCTCCATGGTGGCAATAGTTTTCATTGTTTCGACTACAAGAGAAATATTGAACAGTTAGAAGTACTTTCACGCATGCTATTTTCTAATTACGTTGTATCAATTTGTGCCGCCTCTCTTATTAATTCATTCGTTGGTTCTGTTTTGTAATGATTAAATAAAATGCGCACTAATTCCTCACGTCGCTCTAGTGGTATTTCATTTTGACTCTGTAACAATGCTCGCGCAGCCGACTTAACTTGCCTATAAGGGAATATAAAATACATTTGAAATATATAAATTTGTTCCGACTTTTGAGTTCAGTAAATACTTTAGCTCTGGTAACTCGATGTACTTAACGGCCGATTCTCCTTTAGTGAATGGTGCGTTGCATTGTTTCGCCAGTTTTGTGCGCATTTTTAAGTCGTAAATATTACTAAGCTGATGGCATTCTGGGCATAGTAGGAGCACATCGTGAGATGTAAGCGATTTCATAACCACTAAAAATTTATAAATTATATAAGTTACAAATATCATACAACTAATGTTTCACTATTACAGTGTTAATTTATAATTTCGCACATAAGGCAAATTGCTTTTCCGTATATAAATTATTCTGCCCATTTTCAATTACACATTAAATTTATATTCTGTGTATATCAACGGTGATGACTTCTAGACTGTGTTTAAGTACAGTTTTGGCTGAGATGAGTCAAATATAAAGACTCAAATCGTTACCTGGGAAATGTTTTCTATATTCGCGAGGTACAACATTTTTGCGTGATAAGGGATCCCTGCGACCGCATACTACACATCGGTTTTCTTTCGGATTTTGATAGTAACGCCCCACTTCTCCAACGGCTCGTCCTGAAGGCTCGAAATTCAAACGTACAGTTAATGGTGTTTTCGATATGATTTCGCCCAAACTTTGATCTACATACCATTGGGCTTTCTTTGCATCTATAGTACAAAGCAATTCTCCATCGGGTGCCTGCAAATTGCAGTTATCGTACAGCGCTCTAGTGCGTGTGCTAATGCTACGAGTTTGCAGAGGCTTTATTTTTGTCTTTTTCCCAGGGACTGTTGTAGCTTTACATCTGTCGATATTCGCATAGTTGTTTAAAAATCCTTCCTTGAAACGAACATCATAAAAAGGTTCCAACCGTTCTTGAATATTATTGAAGTTCAACTTTTTTAGACCCCAAAAGGACCTAAAGTATACATTTGACTTAGTACTCCATTACTCAAAAATGTAGAAGTCAACCTACGTTGGTTCCAATTTTTTCACGAGCTTGTCAAATATTTTCACTGCTACCAATGCATCGTTTGCTGCATACTGCAGTTGCTTTTCGCTTAGTACTTTAGCTTCCCAATCTGAGCAGGATAACCTCCAATTTTTATCCAGTTGTACGTTTAGTAGGCTCTTTGCCATTTTGGCTAAACCTTCTGGTTTTTGATTAACCAAGGCAGCCAAATATCTCAGATCGAATGTGCTTGCCACACCCACACCATAGTCAAATGCAAGTTTGTGTGCATCATCTTGTGGAGCTACACCCACCTTTATAACTTTATCATCTTCGAGCAGTTCACGGAGGCCTTTTGGTATTTGTTGCAAGTTACAAAGACGGAATAGCGCGCAAAGTCCTTTCTGTGAAGATAACTGGAGTAGTGCTACGGGACGACGCTTGCCACCCACTGTCACCCACTCGCAATCGAAGCCGAGAACTTTATATTCATGGCAGTGGCTAGAAAATATGTAAACAAATAAAAAAAACACATAAGTTTTTACATAAATGCTTACCGTTTTAATGTATCTAAAACATGTTGGCATTCATCAAGTGTTTCAATAACGGTTATATGTTTTTCTCCCAAAGGGTTTCTGTAGTTGCGTATGCAGGATATAATACGTGCTCTTTGACGAACAACAAGACATAACAAACCAATGCCAGCCGCTGTGGCCAGGATTGATGTTTTGGTAGTGAAGAGCTTACGATTTTGTAAATCACCCATTATAATTTAATTTTGTTTTTGTTTTATTAATATATTTTCAAACAAGGAAAACTTTTGCAATTTTTAGTGTTTTTAAGAAAATGTGGAAATCTAGTGCGTTCTAAACTGTCACCACATCACCTGTTTGCTGTTATCAACAGCTGTTCAACAATAAAAGTGTGTCCGTTCACAATTTAGTATTTAACAATTTAAAAATAGTGGGCTGAAGCGTAAGTGGGATACAACCTTCAACTCAGGCACGCATTTAATTGAGATCTGTATTGTTTACATGAAATATTTAAAGACAATGTGCATTAATAATTTCGAAAGTTTACGCTATACCCTTTTTTTATAATTCATAATTAATTTCTTTTTATTAACAGAAAAAAAAATTATGACAATACAAGTTGGCCTTTCAAATTATATTATATTAAATTTAATTATATATGCCCTTACAATTATAGAAAACATAGATTTACATTTAATTTAATAATACAAATTCTTATCTTCATGCTGTCTGCAACAATACAAATAAAATTTATTGTTAATGAACAGGATCAATATAAAACACATCACGCAAAATTATTTATTGGTAGGTATATTTCTTTTAGTCATGTTGTATTCAGTGCATGACGTAATTACGTATTATTTTTTTTTATAATTTAAAGATTGTTTACTTTTATATTTATTTATATGCCAGCCTCATTTGAATTAATTACAATATAAAGAGTAGATTCATTGGTTTTGCCAACGCATATTAGTTGATTCGTGTCTTAATAATTACTTTTAATATATTAATTACTACGAAGATGCAATATTATAATTATCATCCTATGAGAGAAACCACAATGCGCTTCTATTATTAACGTCGTATTACTTGTATGCTCTATTAAGAAAGTTATTATATGTTTTTAATTTAGTAATAAATATCGTAGTCGTTTTCTAGCTGTGGACTCCCGTGGCAGCGACAAAGCCCATTTCTTAAGAGCTGTCAAGATTACTGAACTCACTACTAACAAGGCGCCTAAAAGTGAAAATCCAGTGGGAGTTTCCCCAAAAAACATTATTTCCCATATAAATGCGAATACAATATCTGCACAACGTGCAATAGCCACTGGTCCAGCTTGCTCCATTTGCAGTGACAATGTAAGTAATATTTGACCCAAAAAGCTAAATATGCCCAGAACCACCACAAGCCAACGATCTCGTCCACATGCTGGCCAGCACAAAGCACCAATCGATCCGCACACAATAAATGTATACACCAGGGCAAAAGCACCAAAATTTGTCATGATGACGGAGAAATGTAGCCCTTTAAGGGCTCTAAGCAATATATACACATTGGCACCAAATAGTGTGGATGATATGGCAGCAACTGGGCCCCAAATATCGTAGGTTTTCCCTGAAAAGCGTTCAGTCTCCATTGAAGGGGCAGCATCACCAAAGACAAAAGGTGGTCGTGTAATTAGCACTACGCCAACGAGAGTAAGTAAGATAGTCACTATGTTGAAGAGGTTGCATTGCTCCTTGAGAAATACCCGCGCAAAAATGGCAACAAATACTGGCGTCGAGAAGATTATAACACTAGCATCGGCGAGTGGCATATGACGAAAAGCGTAAAAACTTAACATTAATCCGGTCGTGCCCATAAAGCAGCGTAGCAATAATATTACACGTTTGCCTTCAGGAAATACCGGGTATCGATTGTAGACAACGATGGGTATTGCGGGAAGTAGTACACCAATAAACCTGTGCAAAATGTATATATTTACGTAATTTTACATATACATATTAAGAATAAAGGGAATCTTACTCACCGAAATGAAGCAAGCTCCATTGGATTTACGTCCACGAGACCCTTCACTATAGCCGAACATAGCGAGAAAAAAAGCGAGGAGAGAGTAGCTAGTATAATACCCAAATAAGGGCAATTAAGTGTTGCTTTGAGATGCGTAAGTAGTCTGTGTGAAGCTTCGCCATGACGAAAACCGTCGACAAACTGATGCAGTTCTAAATTTTCAGGCATCATTTAATAATTTGTTGTGAGTTTTTTGCTTAGCAGGCTAAGAGTAATTTCGATGTACCCCAACAGTGATGCAGTGAGAAAGGCATACTAACTTTATGGTTTTCACAACAAATCTGCATTAAATAACAGTGTTTGTTAATTTAATTTATGTAAAATGAATTATCACTAGCTGCACCACCTGGTTACTTTTAGAAGGGGTTGTTGGTATAGATGGAAAAATCGATTTCCCTCGCACTATTCGTCCCAGATTTTTAATTACACGCAGGAACGCCTTATGTTATATTACCTCAATATTACACCTTCGAAAAGAGTTGCAGACAGTTTATAATCATTGTTAACATTTTTAAGATATTTTAGGTAATATTATCGTCAACACAACATAAACCATAAACTTTGTATGACTTCCGCATCCTTAACTGAATTTCCCATCGAGATGTAAACAGTTATGGATTAAAACCGGTTACAAATTTGTAAAACGGGTACCAGCTACCAATTTGTTATGGTAATCATTAAAAATACACTTTCAAGTGAAAATTTCTAACGTTTTGTTGTGTTTTACGCATTTAAATATGGGTATGATTATATATTTGTATATTTGTACTCGACTCTAAATTACTATATATTTTAAATAATTTTTTAATGTTAAAATAAATACTGAAAAGCTTTTGAATATGTGTTAGAGGATTGCAACGCTTTATGATTATTTAAAACAGAGAATCAATAATATGTAGTTCTAAATGAAACAATAATTTATTCATAATTGTTTTGATATTTGGTATTTTCCGAATATTAGACACTGACATGGTTTAATTGTGCTATGCGTTGCCACTCGCAAATATAAAATATATATGTAAATATCATTTGTTCAAATATTTTATGGTATAACCATTTTAGAGTATGGAGATAACAATATTACTATCGAAAAACAATGCATAGCTCGTAGTAAGTAAAATTTAGATAAATAATATAAAATGCGTCTTCGTCTTCATTCAGTTCAGTAAAAACAGTTTTCTAATAGAACCGCGTCTAAGCAACTCTGTTTTCGTTTGCTTTCAGCTGTTTGCTATGGCAACATTAATAGTTTGAATAGCACTGATTACGAATCATTTCAATTTTAAGTTCAAAACAAAAGTTATCACAATAAGTATCATAAACAAAATATATTACACAAATTATGGAATATTTTTGCGGTTAAAAGTGTTGAAATACTATCATCTGCAATCATTAAATTGTGATTTTAACCATACATACAATAACAAATAGTTTGAATTTTATTAATAATAGACAGAAAGGTGATGGAAAAAGCACGTATACTGACCCTGACTTAATTATACCTACGGTCCAATAAAAAATCACTTTTTTAAACGTGCAAAGCATTCACATTTATTTCATAAGGTAAGTTTTATTATAAAATGTTCTAGTTACTCGCAATAAAGGCTATAAATACCGCGATACAATAATAAAGGACGACGAATATTGCATCTAGCATTCCTTGTACGCGTATCTTCACTTGTCAATCCAAATGAATTGCTGAGATAGTTTAGAAGCCCAAATCGGCCAATACTGCATCTAATTCGGCTTGTAAATTCGCTGCCTTTGCACGTATTTGTGTAATTTCATCCTGTAAATTGTCCACATTGGCCTGTAATAGCACATTGCATTTCTTCATCGCTAGCAGACGGCTTTCGTGTTTCTTTAGTCGAGGTTCCAGATTACTTTTCTTATCGGCATTGCTAGCATCCTAATGCAAAATAGTGCACATTAAATTCTTCAATTGTCAAATATTAGTGATAGGTTACCTCGCCTTCGGACTCGCTTTCAGTTTCGGCTTCACTCTCTTCTGATTCTGATTCTTCGGACTCTTCTTCCTCTTCCGACTCTTCTACATCTTCTTCATCTTCTTCTTCTTCCTCCTGAATTTGCAAATGCACATATTGTCAATAAAATTACAAGTGAATATTTATTTAACGTATACTACCTTTTCTTCATCGCCTTCCTCGTCTTCCTCTTCCTCTTTCATCGAAGCAGCCATTTTTTGAACTTCCTTCTCTAGTTTTTTGAACTTTTTATTCTCCTCTCTAAAGTATTTAAAAACGGTAAGTATTTGCTCATACATATTGTTTGTTTAAATTATTCTGCTTACTTGAGTATGGCATGATTTTTCTTCATAGCTTGCTTCAGTGCTAATTTTTCCTTTTTAGCTGCTTCACGTTTAACCTTTACCTTTGTTAGTTTACTTCGAAGCACTTTCACTTCCTTTGCCAGGCGACGATCGCGCCGTTCTAATTTCTTTTCCTCAGGTTCATCTGGATCACTCTCGCTCATATCTAAGTCTAGCTCAGGAGAGCTATCGCGACCACCATGCACGTCACTTGGACGTCGGGATCCATTCAAGGAGCCACCTCCCTATTAATTTGAAAATGCTTTAGTACTTATTTCTAGTGTCACGGCGTCATTACCATGTTAGTATAGCCATTAGCAAAATTATCAAAGCCAAAGCATGATTTCACATCATCAGGGTCATCGTATGAATAAAAATATTTAGCTTGTTGTCTTTTAGCGCATATGGGGCATGGCATGGTTGTTTGTTCATCCTTTTGCGATTTTTAATGGGGTTATGTTAATAGCGAATGAAAATAAAAAGCTTGCAAGTTGTTAGAATTCAATTATGCGTATTAAATCGAAATTATTTATCAAAAGTCATATTTCTAATATTTTTGTTTATTAAGTTTATAAAACCACTCTTTTATGCAACTCACCTGCAAAGCCTGCGCTAATTTGCGCTCCAGCATCTGTATCGTTCGTTTTTGTTCATCAATCTCACTCTTAGCTTGATCAAGTAACTCTCCTGTATCTAGATATTTTTTCTCTAAATCCTTAGCTGTTCTGCGAGCATCATCCGCTTCTTGCTTGAGTGAATTCAAGTATGCTTCCTCACTGGCCGGTGTTGGATCCATGGTCGCCACAATAATACGAGAACCATATTCCAGATTCTTTTCGCGTGATTTTTCGCGCTCCAATTCGGCTTCTAGTGTAGCTATTTGCGCAATTAATTTCTTATTTTCACGATCCTGTGCCTCGCGATTGCGCAGTTCGAGCGCCAACATTTGCTTCGTACTCTGTAGGTCATCACGTATTTTGTCAATGTCGTCGAGTTCATCACCGCTAGGATCATCTATCGAGAGTGCGGCCACAATGCTATTTGTGATCACGGCTGGATCGCTGGTGCCAGAAGCACTGACAGCGGCACCAACAGCAGCGGTAGCAGCCTATAAGATGCAAGTCTGTATATAAGATATCAAAGTAGGGTAGGTGAATGCTGAATTTACCTCCGCTAACAGGTTAATCTTTGATTGAGACTTCTGAATTTGTTCCTCTATAGTCATCTGCTTACGGAACTTCCGCAAGCCGCCAATGAAAGGTTTACTACGATCGTTCGTTTGTGTGGGCTTTAGTTTAATGCCACCCTGAATTTGTTTAAGCAATTTATTGTGTGAATTATCTTTTTCAGTTTCGTATATAAACTTATTATCCACTTTCGTCATCGACTTGCATGTAAGAATCGGCTGAGATCTATAAATAATAAAATATATAAATTTACACTTGAACAATAGCAGAATATAAATAAAAATTAATACAAGCAAAAACGTTAACTTCGTTTACACCGTAGCTAGAATATCCTTTACATATAAAAAAGTTTCCATACAATTACTTGATTTTGATCGTTCAGCTTGTATGGCAGCTACATCTATGCTATAGTGGTCCGATTTGAATAATTTGTACGAAGATTATACCGTTGACTTAGACAATAATACATATTCTAAGTTAAGAAGAATGAAACAGTGCGTTCACAGTGTGATGTTCTCTCCCCGCCACTGATTTCTATATCTTGAAACTCACTAAACCATCAAAAGGAATTTTCACCACCTCGTACGCAGATGATCGTACGATATTGACGTCAGACAATGGAATGGTTGACATGTGCTCGAAAGCAAACAGCTATTTCACCGATCTTTCTCGCTTCATCCGTGTGCAAGTGGCATGAAACTCTCCTCACTAAATCCACAGGGACCATGTTCTCTAACTGGATGAAAGAGTACATACTAATATCACAGTCGATGGCTTAAAAATTCCGACTGCCAACAACCCTAAGATTTTTGGCATTAAACTAGACATTCTATGCTCCTTCACTCCTCATACGATTGCGATTATTCGCAAAATACAGAGCAACAACAAAACCCTCTAGTCACTAGCTCCTGGAGAAAGGACAAAGAAACGTTCTTGACAACGTACATGTGAAACGCGAACGAATTAGCTTCATAGATGTCAGAATACTGCACTCCGAACGATTATAGGATACTTCTTGGTTTCTCCTGTCGATCTTTGTTAAGGAGCCTCCAAAGATCAAGATTTCTTTACTTGCATACGTCGACGGCATCGAACAGCCGACCAAACTTCAGGCATGCACTGACCGCCATTCACAGTGAAGCCATCAACGCCTTCACCGAGACCCTCGCAGTAAGTGACGCATTTGGATTCAAATCACCACCCATTGCAGACGAAGACCTCCAGTTGCATCGAAAATCTAGAGTGCCCTTGCGGAACTTTTCCTGCGCCTATCGTTAGATGACTTCGATAACTATATAACAACAACAATAACCCATGCGATATTTCGTGAAGATATCAAAAATGTCCATATAATAACTTGATTTTGATTCAGTTTCTATGACAGCTATATGCAATAATACTCCGATATCGGCGACAAATGAGCAGTTTCTTCTGACGGAAAAAATGAAGAGTGGAAAATTTCAGAGCGATATCTCAAAAACTAAGTTACTAGTTCACGTATATATAATATAAATAGAATAGGCCTGGTTAACCCAGTTCAGCTCCTAATCATTTATATACAATACATATTTTAAAGGATCTCTGACGTTTACTTTGTGGTGTTACAAACTTCGTGGCAAACTGTTCCGGGTGTAAAAATAAATTTTCCCTCAAGAAATTTCTGTTTCATCTATAAGCCTCATCCTTCGTTAATATCATTAACATATTTCAACTCACCTGTCATTGCATTCCACATGGCGCAATTTCCTTCCAGACTCCACCTCCTTCATCATTTCTGACCAGTCTGGACGCCTGCGCGGTCGCGTCCTAAACAGCGCATACAGAAAATACAGAAAAAAAAAAATTTATGCGATTCACAATTAAGTCATAAGTTATGTAAATAAGTAATGCCGCCAGCAAATTTATTTCAACTTACTTAAGCTTTTCTAAGGCGGCCTTTTGTGTTTCACTTATATTCCGTTTCTCGCCAGGAGCGCCCAATGGTGGCGGCGGTGGTGGAGGTGCTTTGGGCACCAGGGAAGGCAGCGGTGGTGGTGCGGGAACTGCATAATTAAGTAATAGTTGATCCAACCGGTAGGTGACGAACACGAATACAGCACGGAAGAAACACCGTTGGTGAGAGAAAATTAAGAAGATTTTTAATTCATTGAGAGGCATAAGTCGAAAGTAAATTGCAATGGTAAGAAAGTGAAATATTTAATGAGGTTACGATTGCGTGGTTGTGTTGCAGTGATTCTAGGATGGCGTAAGCTAAGGTGCACTTTCCTAACTACATTCATTTCAACCTATACTCTCTTATTGCAACCATATTTCTTCTCCATTTGTGCAAGTGCAACGCTTGTGAGTTAACTCAACAGACAGCAAGCAGTGGTATTACTCTAAGGAAAGCAGCTAAGGATAGCCGACGTCTGGCTAGTCGTGGCTTGAGTAGTAATTGTATATTGTGGCTTGAAATATTTGCATATTTTGCTTTTGAAACGGCGTCACTTGGCGTTTGTTAAAAGATGCGGGCACCTCATTCAGTAGATTGTGCTTAAAAGTTAATTAGTGTAGCAAAAGTTAGGCAAAGCGAGTCAATTTGGTTTGGTTGGCCACTTCTAGTTGGCGAAAGTTTTTATTAATACAATAGTAAATTATTGAGTACAGTTCTTGGTAAAGCATAAAATAGTAATGCGACATATTTTATTCAATCCATTTCTTTTCTCTTCCTTATAATATTATATTTCTTATATACTACCTGTTTCATTGTTTTTGTTTCATATTTCAATAGGCTATAACTTTAAAAATAACATACTTAAATTTTAAATCCATAGCTCAAATAGTTTTTGAGTTACAGCCTTCTAAAGTGTAGCAGCTTAGTTCAATCAGCTCCATCAGTTAATCTTGGAATGCGATTTTCTCATAACTACATTTTTCTCAAAATTACATTTTCAAAGTGGCTTGAGTGATTGCTCGGACACAAATGATCCGATCACTATCACTACTATTTTGCTGCATGTTCCTTTTTTAACTGATTTAAAATCGAATTTTGCCAGTCCAAAAACGACTAAAATTTTGAGTAAACCTAATTAAAAAAAAAAACCTCGCCATTTTGTTTTTTTTTCGACCGTAGGTCATCTAGTATCTTCTAGTGGAGATTTTTTTTAGGTTTGATCAACGGAGAAGGCCGTACGCACTGCAGCAGTGGAGGACCTCTTTTTAAGTGCCGTATTTATTAAAAAATTTTACTCCTTTTGGATGCTTAAAATATGTAGGTAAACACACAAGATGTGCGCCTTGAAATTACAATAATTTAATTTTGCAACCCTTCTTGTTCTAAACACTGTACCATTTAAAAAAAACATTTTTATGATATCTTTTCGGTGACTTCGTGTCATATAGTAGTTCCAAACATTCTCATATACTCCACTCTTAAGCGCTTAAGTGATCTTTTCATTATAAATGTCATGCTACACGGAGTGCTTGTCACTTACTGTTTTAGCCTAATAAAATGTTTTAACTCAACCTACGTGGCAATTCTATTTTCTACGTACAGACATGTATACACATTTTTCCAAAAACATGTTTTCTTTCCGATGTTTCTTGAAAATGCCAGGGATGGTGGCCCAGAATAATACAAATATATTTAATTCCTGTCGATGCGTTCAAACAAGAAATGCGCCTAAAAGGCCGCTAATTAGCTTTGTTCAAAAAGCCATCAAACAAAGGCAGATTATTTTGTTTTCAACGCTTTCCGTGATTTCCATAATTATATTGTTATTATTGTATTTCGTGTATTCTTTACGCTGAAAACTGAATCGTCCTTGCGCTGGTGATGCGCGTCTTCCTGTGCTCCTGCTGCTCGGCTCCGTTACGGCATTAGGCACAGTTGTGTTTAACTTTACAATAACACTTTTGTTTTTGCATTGCCGCCTGTAGCGAAAACAACGCCTGCGTCACCCGGCTATTGCAATAAGCATCACTCAGGCGACTGTCGCTTTGATCATACACTTACACTACTAAAGTACGTCATAGGCGACCGACGACCTTGTTATCTGCTGCAGGTTGTGCTATTCGCATTATTATGTGGTATTGCCTTTGAATTTTTATTTCGAGTTTCGTTAATTTCAGCAAAAACCAACAAAGTGGGGAACTTTTCTTTGTTTATTTTGTCGGAAGTTTTTTCATAGTGAGGTGCTCGCTGGTGCTTACATTTCGTGCTTTTTGTACAATTCTTAATCAGATTTTGCGCCTGGCACAAGAGGGCTTGTCTTTGCTTTTTTTCGTTGTTCATTTTTATTTGTGTTCTTTTCGTTTTTATTAAAACAATGTCATAGCGTAGAGGGGAAGAGGGTACCTTAAAGCCCCTCTCCTCTCCCTTGCGGCGCACAACACATACACATTTTCTTTTGTCCTACCAATGTTGATTTCACCACACCATAGTGTCACTAATATGGTGTGTAAATACAAGTATTGTGATACCAAATGAGAAGTGTCTTTTCAATAGAGGATATTTACATTTTGATTTTATTTTTTTAAACTAAGTATGCAGTCTGGTTCTTAGTGCTAATATACACGACTTCGTCATTTAGATTGCGATATTAATGAGATAGTTTCCAAGTAAAAAAAGGTTTAAATTCGCCGAAGATACGACTGCCGAGATGTTTCCACCACAGTTATGTAAAAGCTAGACAATGGAAAAGAAAGTGTCTGAATGTTTCCACCATTCTCAATACAACATTGACAGTTAGCGTCCGAGAGCCTTACCGCATAGGACAGTGTTCAGTAAGAATTCTTACGATTGCGGCAATATGAATCTAACAGAGAACAATCAGTTGAATGGATCGCTTGCGTTCTACATTAAGCCCGAATGATCTCGCAGTCTCACAGTTTAATTTTGTTTTATACAGCTTCTTCAACAAGCAGCTATTTAACTTTCGTAGTATTTGCTTCGAAAACTTCGTTTTTGCCAGCAATCCCATAATAAAGTAACACTTTTTCGGACATAAACATTTAGAAATTTAATTAATTTTCGTAAAATTTATTGTGCTTAATGATGAATATAGTTTTCACAATACTGCAACCAGACAAGCTGGTGGCGACGTACAGAAAGTAATCAAAGTTAAGTTTCCAAATGCAAATTACAAATAGCGCAAAATGTTACATTTCCAATTTCTCGGTGCTACTAGGTAAGTCTAACTGTTATCGTACACAAGTACCGAAGAGAACGACAGCAGAGTACACTGCTAATAATAGACTTTTAAGTAATGAAATTCAGTTCACCGCCACCGTGCAACAACCGAATTTATATTTTTTATTCATACAAAATCACCGCAAACTGTCAGAAATGCAAAAAAGTTGCTGTAGCTGCAACCGAGAGGAAGTGAACAAGTGTTGAAGTCAAGCTGTTGCTGAGCTACTTGAGCTGGTGTGCAAGTATGCTGCTATGAAATGGTGAGTCCTTTGATGACGATCGTTAGCATAAGTGCATAAAGAGTCGGATGTAAGTGAGGAAGCAAGGGCAAGCTGGAAAGTTTCGCTAACGCTTGCAAGTAGCGTCGTAAAATGTACAAAAACGAAAATGGCGCAAACAAATAAAATTAACGAAATGTTAAATTACATAAATATTTCAGTGTGCATTAATGAAATTATAACTAAATTGTGATGCATTCTAATATAAGCGCTTCACATTGTGAGCTTGAAAGCGACTTAAGTGAAATACTGCTTACGCCTTGGTAGCTTAATTTAAATTAACAACATGCTTCACATGCGCTGAATGGATATTACTCGGTGGATGTATTATATAATATAATTGTATTAATAATTAGTTCTTTGTTGTGCTCAAAATCCGCTAGTGGTTGGCTCAACGCGACAAATGGCTTTTAATTAAAGTGCGACCGCAGCGGTGTAAGCTCTATCACATATCGCACGCTTGCAGACATACTAAGTGTAGCCAGTATATATTGTAATAATTGTAAGACAATTTATCGTGCAGTAAATTAAAGCACAGCGCAGAATTTTTGGAAAACACACGAAAATCGTTTGATTTAACTGCGAAATTGTTTCACCTATCACCGTTTGAAGGGCAAATCGGATGGCACATATTATGCCATTCGATTATTTGCATTTTATTCGCTGGAACGTTCGGCTAATTGGCGTAAAAATACTTATTCTTAATTTTAATTGTGCACTGATTTTATCTTTTTTAAACACATACTGTATACATGCCAATAATTATGTATGTATGTACTCGTATTGAATTGAACATCTATTGTTCGATATGAGCGACATCATTGGCCTTAAAGCGTTTCGAGTATTCACTTTGAATTAATGAAAAGAAAGCAGGAGCATGAAAGAAAATGAAAAAGCATATCTGCTTATATGGTATATATATGCCTGCACATATTTACATATGTAAGCAGATACTCGAAGGCATATACATATACTTGTATTGATATGTATCAGTGAGGCACAGTGTAACATTTTAGACGCAGACTATTTTGCATTTGCGGTGCTCAATATTTGAATTATGAAATAAAAAATTTACAGCGATAGAATTATTATGAAACAGAGCTTTTGGGCAGAATTTACAAAGCACACAAACGAAAAAAGTTAACTTCTGTTTCATCGAAGCTGTAATATTTTTTAGAAATAACACAATTTATTCGGAGATTTTGCATTGCCTTGAACAATAATCGGTGACATATAATATGTTGACAAAATTCATTCGGAATCGGTCTAAAATTCGCAGGCTCCATAATTTGTCGCTCTCCACAAATCTACCGTAGTCACTACCGACACTAATGTGAGTAGAGATAAAAAAAATTGGATTCCCTTGACTACGGTGCCGATCTGAAGTAGGACCTCAAAAAAAGGTGTCTAGCGGTGAGAAAGATCTTTCTGCTTAAAATTGTCACAAATCCAAAATAAAAGAAAATATATTATTATTATAGATGAAAACACATATAGGAAAGGGTAGATAATTTTATGGTAAAAAAAAAAATCATGATAGATTGAAACCTATCGGAAATGAAAGATAAAATGACAAACATTAGGGGAAACA